AGCGAACGGACGGAAGAGAATCCGTTCACGACCATGGTCCCTTCTTAGATTTAACGTAGTTCACAAATTCACCGTTCTCATAACGTAGAGGGCAGCAGAAAATCCCTGACTTTTTACACTATCGGTATTTCAGAACATGAGACATGAAGTCCCATAAGATGATAGGTCTATCCTATACCTAGTCGGTGGTACCGGTCAAAAGTATTCGAACACTTGGATTGATTTAGGAAAACACAAGGAACTTTACATTCATTATACTACCGATCGTTTCTTTCTTTCAGATTATATTCCACACACTGCACTTCGATATCTTTGATTCACATATTTGAAATATCACTGATTGAATTTTAATAGCCATCACCACAATGCACGTATACACTGCAGAACGTTTTTCAATTGAAATCACTGCAACTTTGAACATTTTTAGCACGTTAGAGTGAATGTTCTTTTTTCCAGAGATAAATGAGAAATGATTAAATGGGCTTTTACCGAGAACACCCGAAGCAGAGCGCACACGGCAGAGGTAGAAAACGCTTGTGTTGGTGAGTCGCCGAGTAGGACGTAGTGGGGGCAGAGCTCACGGCAGGCTAGAATATGCTTGGGTAAAATACCCACGGGAGGCATAGAGAGGGTAAGCGCTCGCGCGGTTTACCCACGATTCTGGCATCAGTGCCCCAGGCCCCAGGGTCCCAGGCAACCCTGATCTTGGACGGTCGACTCGATCGATCTTTTGTAATTCGTTACCCCTACTTTCTATAAGCAATACGCGACAGTCTTTGCAAAATACAAAAGAAGAAATGATTCGTAATAGTTACATAAATAATATTTCTAAAGTGCAAGCTTGTTTGTGTTGAGTTCAGTAAAATATCATTGTGATTTGTATATTTTTACATAATTATTTAAATAAAAAACAAAATTATAAATTTGCGCTGTTTGTGAAACCCATCACTACCTTCATTCCAATTCCTATTCTTGTATTATTCTCGTTATAATTATCGTTATAATTATTTGTTTGTAAACAAAAAATTATAATTATTGTTTGTAAACAAATAATTATAAACGATTACGAAATACGCGGGAAGGAACTTTAATTAACATCTCACAAAGAATTCATACCGGCATTGATACAGACATTAGTACATTCAATTACGGCGAGAATATATATTGTATTTATTATATATTCTGTTATAACCAGCAGTTATAACTTAAATTTTAACCCTTTGCGGTCCTATATTGAATTTGATTCGACATCACGTTTCATTCCAGTGTATGTACTTATAAAAGGTAGACATCATTTATTTAATGTAAAGAAATCTATAATAAAATTTCTAATTAGAATCATATTTTCAAACTTTAAAGACAGTTCGCCTGTTTTTTTGTGTATAAAAGCATTTTATACTGTCACTTGACATACACACACATAACGCATGCGGTTGACATGTTTCATCAATTCTAAATAAGTGTACTCCATAGTGTCTTTAAAGGTAGTGTTTATATTGAACCGTTGTAAGTAGTTCGTCCTTATGGCATCACCAGTACCAAAATCGCCGGAGCAGTCTGAAAAAAATAGGAAGTATGATAGACAATTAAGGTATGAAACCCGGCAACGAATTGTTTTTGGGGTTAGAAATTATAATTTATTTTTTTGTATCAAGATCAATTATAATTGTTATTAAAGTTCGAGTTTATGTTCATCTTTTTTTTATTTTACAGTATGTTTTACCATGCATGTTTTTTTCTCATACATTTACTAACAAAACATGTAATATTTATGCACTTAGATTATGGGGAGATCATGGACAAGCTGCGTTAGAAAGTGCTCATGTTTGTCTTATAAATGCTACTGGGCTTGGTACAGAAATTCTAAAATCTTTAGTCCTTCCAGGTATTGGGGCATTTACAATAGTCGACAGTAAAAAAATTACCCATGAAGACATTGGAGCAAAGTATGTAAATCAGTGTGTTATGTGTTATGCCTTTGTAACATGTAATATTGATTTTTACTATCAGATTTAACTATTAAATCAATACGAACAGTTTTTTTCTAGAAGCAGAAAGCGTTGGAAAATCAAGGGCACAAGTAGCAATGCAAATGCTTTTAGAATTAAATTCCGATGTTAGGGGTGATTATATAGATGAGGAACCTGAACATATTTTGTATAATAGCCCAGACTTTTTCAACAACTTCACAGTTGTTGTAGCTACATCGCTTAATGAAAAGTAAGAGTACAATAACAATAAAAATTATTGTATAATTTTATCTTTCATTTTCAACGACATATATAAAGCAGAAATATTTTTTAGGTGTTTAATTCTCTTATCGCAAAGGCTTTGGGATTTGAATATACCATTAATAGTAACCAGAAGCATAGGATTCATTGCGTACATGAGAATTCAAATAAAACAACACACAGTCGTAGAAACGCATCCAGATAACGAAACACCAGATTTACGTTTAGATAAACCATTTGGAACGTTAAAAAAGCACCTCGATTCAATAAATCTTGACGAAATGAGTTTCAAAGATCACTCGCATGTACCATATTTAGTTATATTGTATAAATTCTTAGAAAAGTGGATCAAAGAAAAAGGGGAATTACCTAAAACATATAAAGAAAAACAACAATTGAAGCAAATGATAAAAGAGGGAATGAGACGGGATGAGAATGATGCAAAAAATAGTGAGGAAAATTTTGAAGAAGCTATTAAAGCAGTGAATACATGCATAGGACCTACTCAGATTCCAGATAATCTGAGAAATATTTTGAACGATGAACAGTGCATTAATTTAACAGCTAAGGTACAAGGAAAATAATTTATGACTAGTGACAAAACCAAGTACATTGCAAAGGGTATCAATATTTGACAGCCTATGTTGTAACCTTTTCTGTATACTTCAAAAAATGCAAATAATATTTATGAGTATTGTCAGACCCTGTTGTATTAAGGGGTCATGCTCAGTCAGAAATTTTCAAAAAATCGATTTTTCACTTTCTACATTTTCTTTAAGTACAACATCTCGAGAACAGTCTGTGCAAGTTTCAAGGTAATCCAATTAAAAATGACAGAGATACAGGCGTTAAAAAATGAACATTTTATATAAGTGTAAGCTTGACTTGAAACTTGAAACGCGTTTTTCTCGAAACTATATTTTTCAAATCGGTGATCAATATTTCTCGAAAACTACTGTGTCGATTTACATGAAACCTTTTGCGCCTTATTTCAAATAAAAAAAACTTGTCCTTGAACGAAGGATTTTTTTTTGTTCCATACTTTTTTTTTTAATTGACCAAAAACGAGTGATTTTTATGTGAAAATCGCACTTTTTCAGGAAAATGTCCGCCATTTTGGTCCAAATCAATATTTCGAAAAACCCCACGTTCAAGGACAAGATTGGTTCTTCCATTACATAAATCTTACTGAATTTTTAATTTCAAATGAACCGTTAGGAAGTTACAGTGATCACGGCAGACCACTTTTTGTGAAGAGACATCCGGGAGATCGCTCACTATTTATTTACTAATAAATATTTTTAAATAAAAAAATTACCTCATAATCTAGAAACTGCAATCTTTGAAACACAAACACACTTTTTGAAAAAGGTCTTACAGTTTTTGAGAAAAAAATTCCCAAAGAACACTCTTTTTTTTGGCCTCCTGATTGAGCGTGACCCCTTAAGTCATTTATGAGTAACTAGTACTTTTTACTTCTTAAATATTCAATTGTACACGTTATATATACACGTATATACAAAAAAAATTTATATATACATGTATATATTTTATATATGCTGTATTTGGATGTATTTATAACACCATTTGCAGACATTATGTGTATTCACTACAAGCTTTGAAAGCATGATATGATTTTGCAAGTACATGCAATGAACTTGTTTTTACAGGCACTAATGGATCCCAGTGAAGTAAATTTTTGAAATTAAATTGATTAATGTGCATAAACATATATTCAACTTGGTCTCAATACTGAATCCTACTACTAGAAAATTGTATAATTTTAAACTGATTTAATATATTTTCAGAGTAGTTCATTTTGGATCATTGCTAAAGCTATAAGAGATTTCTGTGAGAATGAAGGAGATGGATTATTACCATTAAAAGGTACCTTACCAGATATGACAGCGGATACTGAGAAATACATAACACTTCAGGAGATGTAAGATGCTCTTCTGTAGAAATCTTTCATAATATTGATTCATTCTGCTAAATTTATACTTACTTATGTTTTGTAGTTACCACAAACAGGCGGTAGCTGATGCTGAAGTAGTATGGCGACGTACGTTACAGTTATTACGAGAATTGGGAAAACCATCGGATTCTATTTCCGAAAGGGATGTGAAATTGTTTTGTAGACATGCTTCCGGTATACACGTTGAGAGAGGAACGTGTATTGCAGATGAATATAGTTCTAAAATATTTGGTGCAAGTAATATAGGTAATATTTTATAAATATTATAATGTTTATAAATATAGAGAAATATGACGAGTATGTTCAGATACTAACTTTTTATATTTTTTTCAGTGCAAAGTTTAGAAAATCCAGAGAGTATGATGATTTATTATGTTGTTCTTAGAGGAGTTGAAAAATTTCAAACGGAGTACAACTCGTATCCTGGCGAATTCGATGATCAAGTGGAACCCGATATTGTCAAACTCAAAGTATTTATAATATAACATAAGAATATTAATACTTTCATATATAAAAAATAATTTGTAACTTAAAACTAAACTAATTCTTGCAGGCATGTATAACGAAATTATTAATTGAATGGGGATGCGGATCATTGGCAAAAGACGATTATGTACATGAATTCTGTCGATTTGGTGGATCAGAATTGCATTCTGTAGCAGCATTTTTAGGTGGTCTTGCAGCTCAGGAAGTTATAAAATTTGTTACGAATCAGTATAAACCAGTTCATAACACCTTTATTTATGACGCAGTCACATCGAATTCTGGAACATTTTTTTTTTAGTGCCAAGCATTAAATTAGACATACTTTTGTATTAAATAAAAAAATATACAATATTGTAGTTTATACCAGCTTCGTATATTTTTAAACAAATTGTTTTATGAACATTTTTCGATTCCGAATAGGTTGAATTCATTTGTCAACAAATATCAACTCCTTAATGTATTTGTCGCAGATGTATTAAAACTCAAGTTGAACGAGTATAATATCAACACTTTAATGTAGCAATTAACTGATACACAAGTGATTTCGTTCTTATTTATAATAAACAACTATTTCTTACAATAAATATGTATAATGTGGAAAGCAAATGAATATTTTATAATACCTTATGGCCAACATTTTACGTAAATAATGTTTTACCGGTGTTCCACTCTCAATACAACTTAAGAAAAACGGGTTGCGCTTTGATTTTCGTATTGCTTTACTTTGTACGTTAACATCTTATATCACGTTATATAATGTTGTTTTATTGATATAGAATTAACTGTATCCTGAGTATATTAATTAACCGTTAACTATGATTAACAATACTACAATATAAAACTGACACTTTCGCACAAACCACTTCAGAATCCTGGATGTACTTATTATTTTTAACATAATTATCCCTTGTACGTTTCATTTTCATTTTTTTAATTTATGTGTTACATTGATCTTCCGTGCGTTTCTTTAATAACAATCGTATTTGAAATTTAAGCATTATGAGATTAGATTAGAAGTAGTTATGCGAAAGCTTGACAAAATGATTTGAATGATTATGGGAAACGCAATATCAATAATACACGCTTTGTACTCCATATACACACATAGCACCAATAAATACATAAATACAACTGGAATTAATAATAAATTACTCTCATACAACATAGAAAAAGAGTTAGGTAAATCATCAGGAGGTAGGAGAACATTGAAATGTTTGCTACCAATAGCAGAGAAATTCAAGTTTAGAAAAGAAATTAAGCACACTTTTGATATAGTTAACTGCCATAAATCTGAAGGATTATAGAAAATTACAAATAATTAATATGACAGACAATGGATTCGAAAGACAAGATATTAGAAGAGAAAGACAAGATATTAGAATAGAAAGACAAGATATTATAAGAAGAAGACAACATATTAAGAGGAGAGGAACGTTTAATATTTGTAAAGTTAAGTCTATGAGAAAAACACCGGTAGAGGATAACAACAAATTTTGTAGTATACAGATTAAGAATTTCATCTATCAACTTTCTTGTCTTTTTTTTTTTAAATCTGAGTCGTATAATTCATTAATTCCTTGTTTTGTCCTACAAAAAGTATCATTATTTGTTTTTATTTTTTACCATAATAGCTAATGTTTCTACAAAAGTAAATAAGAGCAACTTCAGGCTATTTGTGTAATTATTTTTAAATATTTATACTTATGTATTTATCAATAAAATCTGTTCGCTTTGTTGCTGCTATTGACTTTTGCTTTATGAATTGTATATTTTTCTTTCAATATTATTTACTTTAAATTTCTGTAAATAAATTCTTTTAACAATTACATATTTACCAGTACGATAAAATAAGAATCGCTCAATTTTTAAACCATACGACTCTGTGAACCACTACTGCAATATGTATTGAAAGATTTTAGTAAGTAGATACAGACAAATTTTAAGGCATAGGTCATTCGTAAGATCAGAAATATTCGTTAGAAGTGTCATTCAGGAGTAGAGAGACTTCTATGATAAATCCTTGGTACAAGAAATATTAGTTACTTATGATACCATTGTTATTCTAGAGAAGAGAAAGTGATAATGGAATATAGATAGATCTCCACATGTAACAAGTGTTGGTTTTTGCTAAAATTCTTATTGCGTGGATTTCTTGTCATCAATAAATTTTTCTCTTGTTAATAGTTGAATTGTGAAGTTCGTAGAAGTGAAAATTGTTACATAATCCATCAAACTTCTAACGTTTGACATTTTAATTTATCAAGAAATGTTAGGACAGATACAAGCAATAAACCACAGGATTCTATCTTCACCAGTGCCTTTATCAGTATTTCAATGTTTAAGAATTTGTATAAATATCATTCTTTCTTTGAACTGCAATGTATTACAATTACATTGTACTATAATCCATCATTTAGTGCGATTCTTTAATTACCTTATTCATAATAAACATTCTGGTGCCACGCAGCAGCGTAAAGAACTTTTTAAGTCAAGAAATTGAATACACTGTATTATTTTTAATAAAAACTACACAAATTTATTACTTATTTTTTCTCCTTCACCATCTCCATTCTTCATTTTTCTTCATTAATTCATATTAGATTTACCTATTTTGAAATTATTTTTGACATTGAGAATGAATTTAATGTTTAAAGTAGTTAAACTGTCATAAACGTTATGATTTTCGATTAATTCTAATATTTGTTCTCAAATTTAATTTTTATCACATTTTACAGTTTTTCAACCATTTCATAGTAGTTTTCATGCAGCTAAGTGGCAGAAGTGATCAAAGCATAAATTTTAAAACCCTATCATCTATTGTTGAGTATTAATGATTTCAATACATGTGTAAAGTTCATAAGAATTTAACTCTAGTAAATTTGTAATTTGATTATAGTCAAATCTTATTCTTAATATTGTTATTTTATTAATAATAATATTGTTATAATTGTGATATTATAAAAATGATAGAAATAAAAATATAAATATAATAGTGGATAAACGTTTCGGATTTGCATGTTTTTTTAAATAATTTGTAAATACTTTATGCTTTGCAAAAAATACTAATTATCTGTGGAAAGAATTGGTCTTTTAGAGTTCAAATGAGCGAGTTCCGTCGAGCGGGCATATCCTCCGTGATGTCACAGCGCAGAGTGGGGCAAAATGTAATTCAATTACAAAATATAAATTCGAATTACATTGTAATTTTTATTGTAAATTTAGTATAGTTAATTACATTGTAATTTGAATTTTGTAATTATATTATATTTTGCCCAACTCTGTCACAGCGGATACACAACAAAAAAGAATAATATTCAGTCGTGCATACAATGCTCGCGACCTGAGAATACAAACACGGAAAAAAAGGGATCAATAAGAGAAACTGAGCTGATGTTGTTTATTCGGCAAACAAGTTGTTAATTAAAAATAAAAGAAAATACCCGGACTTGATCCATATGTTAGTTGTCGACATTTGAAATGTGAATTTTTGCACATTTTTATGGACCTCTGAAATAACGAGAAAAAATTCTTTAATTATTTTCGGATGAGTATCAAATCATTTGACGAATTAATGTTATCACAGGCACAGGCCAGTAAAAAAATCCATAGCCAAATTCTGTTTGTCGTGAATCATCACGGTATTGCCACGAGTAACCCTCTCCCCCCCCTGTTCATCAGTGTTTTCCCAATATACACTGGTCAAACAAATAAGAGGATCATGTGTTGCAGTCGTTACAACCGTCAATACGGCGTATAATTCTTGGATAATTTTAATAAATATTAAAGTAGGTGTTATCACTGCACGGAAATAATGTTAAATCATCAACCTATAACAATTTTTTCCTTTTTTCGCTCGATTGACACATCAGGGTTGTACACTATAACGATCCCCTAATTGTTTTGGAGCGGTGTATGGTAGTTCACAATTGGTATATCGCTGAAAGATGCGAGAATGCTTGCACGACGAAACTCCCACATTGAGCCTTTTAGAGTCAGATATTCTGTTCTGTGTCAACTTTGAAATAATTACGTTTACCTAAGGTGACTAGATGTTTTAGGTTGCAATGCGGGACATGTCCAAAAAAAAATAAAAATAAAAAAGGTCACACATTTTTGAAAGCATCATTTTTTTAACTTATTACATCCATTGTAGAAATATTTGTTGCCAATTAATAGCACTATCTAGTATGAAGTAGAGGAAACAGTAACTTTGTGCACTGCGAAAATGTTAAAAAAGTTACATAGCCAATCTGGGATACTTTCCGGGATAGTTTTAAATGCGGGACAAACAACTCAAATGCGGGACAGTACCGCCTAATCCGGAACGTCTGGTCATCTTCCGTTCACTTCACTTTTCAGTCTATGAAATTACAACATAATACAATTATATCTATTACAATACACCATAATACATTTATATATCTTTTGTACATGTTACATTTTTAACAGCCCATGCACATAACATATACACACATGTTAGGTGTTGAAATTATGTTACAGTTGTGTATATTTTTTACTGGAAGCTAATGGTACAAAATTAAATGCACGTGTAACACTATTTATGAAAATTCTAAAAAACATTTTTTAAATGAAACCTTGTATTTAAATATTTGTTAGACCTAGCTCAGACATTGCAGTTTGATCGCACAGCTTCTGTTTCTGCAGAGTAAAATAAATTTGTTCTCACTTCCCTGTACAGTCAAAATTTATGCAATTTATGCAGTTTAGTATATATACTTCTCACAATAAAAATACAACTGGGTGCTAATCGACTGCGTATGAACAGCTGCTTTCTTCAGGTGATCAAAATTATCATGTCTGGACCATGCCCATCATGTGTTTGAATTCAAAATGAATATAAATTAATAAAGAAATATTTTGTAAGTGTACAATACAATGTTCCTTGATTAGTGTTAGTAACGAAATAAAATGAAATCAACAGTACAAAGTATAAGATAAGGTTTCAAATTTGCTTATTTCTTAATAAATTAAAAACAATTAGTGAGTATTTGAAGTACTTCTAAATTATGTATCCAGTGACATACTATGATCTTTTCAATCAACTTCTTTGTTTTTCAGTGTGATCAATTAATCTACAATATTAATTTTAAAAATGTATTCCAAAAGCAGGTGTTGAAGAAATTATGAACATTATACAATCGTATTTGACTTTTTAAAATTATGTTAATATAATGATGCTGAAAATATTGTTAACTTCTTAACCAAGGATATAATAATTATACTTTGATTTTATGAGGGCTGAATTTAAAATATCAGTGTTACTTTATTTCTGTATAT